ACCTATAGGGCTAAGCCCAAGCCTGAGACCAATATCCACAATGTGTCATACAAGGCGGCGCGGCACTGCGCTCATAGCCAGGAAAATTGGTCTGAGCCTCACCTCCGCCTACAACCGTGCAGACCTCAGTCAAACGTACAAGTAAAACGAAAACATCCTTAATTCCTACTCAATCAAAAATAAGTAAATATCAACAATATAAAAAAAAAAACGACCGACGCCCCGCGTCGGCCTTACGATCAACAACAGAAAAGAATCACGCGCGCCTTAATCCTGCGCGCCCACGCACTCTGTACTCTAGTCAACCATTAGCCATATAAACTGTCGTGACTCGTGCGGCATACTCAAACTTCTTAAATCTATTTTCTGTCACTTGCAAAAAAAAACAGGGCGGATACCCTTGTAAGGGTATTTGCACCGACATCGCCCACATTGCTCAGATGTATTTTTGACTGTCAACAACATTGGCAATTCGGGTACCTGTATAGCTTTGCTACATGACAAAAATGGTAGATAGAAAGTACATAAATATCTAAAGAGTTGATAAAGTGCTGGGTCATTCACACCCCAGTCCATCATGAATGCTAACAAGCCAAGGCTGAACTTCATTCAGAACAGGTTAGCCTTGTAGCTTGGTAGCTTGATAGCTAGATGTTGACACAAATGCATGATTGATCACATGAGTAAGTACAATGTTCAGGGACGTTGGACCCGATTTCCAGCAGGTGCTGCTCCCCACCAATAGATGGAGCCTCCTCGGCGGTGCTAGCGGTGTCTGCTCTACCAGCACCCCTAGCTTCCGCTTGGTTGTATTAAAAAAAAAAAAAAAAAAAAAAAAAAAAAAGGAGATGAAGAAGAAGAAAAAAAACAAGTATATTGAGTTCACTATTGGAGCCTGTCTCTTATACACATCTAGATGTGTATAAGAGACAGGATGAAGGGCAACGAAGGGCATGGAAGGTCTGTTTCCCCCCCGACTACCAGTGAGGGTTCACCGACAGGTTCGGTGGTTTTGTTTTGCTACGTGGCGAGTGAGGGGTAAAGTGAAGCCACGGCCCGTTAGTCCTTATTGTTCAGTCCTTTTTTTTATGGCCGAGAGAGTGGCCATGTGATGGTTGAGTTGCCTTCGGGCAGATAAGGGAGGGGGTGAAGGTTTGGGGGAGACAGACACATCATGATGAGAGGTTAGTTTATATGCTTCGATCCATAGTTTTGCTCTTTGTGGCTTGAGTGACCTCCGTTTTTTTTCGTTTTGATCTCATTTTTTGGGAGGAAGCTTCAAGATAGTAACTCGATTCCAATTTTCAGATGATTGTAAATCCGATTTTTGATTCCAATCTCTGGTTTTCGAATTTAATCTTTTGGATTTTTCTATTTGATTTTTTCATGACAGGTAACTTTAGGTTTTCAATTCTAATTTGATTCAAGACAGCGGACTCATGAATGAATTCAAAATTTTCTGAATAAAATCTCGATTTAATCCTTTCATGTTGATGATCGTAAATAAGAGTTTCGCCTCTGATCTCAAATAATGTTTTCTAACTTTTTAGATTCTTAATGAACACGAACCTGATTCGATAGTGGATTCCTGAATGATCTTCAAAATTTCGGAATAACTCTCGATTTGTTCTTTCATATTGACGATCGTAAATCAGAGCCTCGTCTCTGATCTTGAATAGTGATCTCTAACTTTTTAGAAGTTCAATGGTCTCGTGAATTCTTTGAATCTTGTTTTTCCTGATGTTTCGACTCGCCTAAGATGGTATTCTAGTGTTTTGTTGTTGCACTGATCGTTGTGATACACTCCTGCTTGAGAGGGGTTAGTAGTGGGAGGGAGGTGACGCGTCCTGCTGGCGAGGGGGTCAGTCGGTAGGACTGAAATAGGGCATAGCAGCAATGGAGATTGTGGCTCCGCTGTGATAAGTCTTGTCGGAGGGGGTCGGGCGCAGTTTCAGGTGGTTTGGGGGTGTTGAGCACGACCGGTGCATGTTGGAAGTCGGGTCTTTCGAAGCCTTAGTTGTCGCGGTGTGTTCAGATTATCTGACGGTGGGTTATCGCCATCATGTCCATAAGGTTAGGGTTGACCGATGCCAGAACGACGCTGGCCGGAGCGGGGGTTTGGTTGCGCTGCCCTGTAACCTGAGTATGCGGGGGTTAGAGGTCTGGTAAAGAGATCTGGGGAACTTCCGAGGGTGGAAGGCAGTCTAGTGGCTAACCGCGAGCTGGTATTAGGACGACGCGGGTCGGAGCTGGGGTGGGTCGTGCTGCCTTGTAACCCAGCGGTTGGGAGTGTGAGGCCTGGAAGAGCATGGTATCTTGGATATGTGGGTTGAGGCAGCCGAAGGATAGTCTGTTGATAGCATTGGGGCAGCATGTTTTCGGTTATATCAGCTTCCAGATAATCCTATTTGGGTCTCCTTTTTCAGGAGTAAGTTGATTTGTTTAAGACGCTTCTGGTGGTCTTGAGGTCGCTTCAGGATTCTGGGGGGTTCTTGCTACTCACTGTGGGCTTCTCCGATGCGGTTATATTCATAGATCTGTGGTGGTTCGATGCCAGAACGTCACTGGCTGGCCTTGGAACTAGATGGTGGGATATCAAGCGTCCTACTAGTGAGGTGGTTAGCTGGTAGGATGGAAATAGGGTACAGCAGCAGCGGAGATGGTGACTTTGTTCCAGTAAGTCTTGCCGGAGTGAGGTAAAGAGGATGGATGGGGGGTTCTAGGACGTTCACTGAATTTTTGCTTACGTGAGTGGGAGAAGCAGATGGTGGGATAACAACGGGGCTTGCTGGTAGGATGGAAACAGGGTACAACAGCAGTGGAGATGGTGACTCTGCTGCAGTAAGTCTTGCCGGAGGGAGGAAAAAAGGATGGATCGGGTTTTCTGAGGCGTTTCCTGAAGTCTTGCCTATTTTCGGAATTTTGCCATAGTAATTCTTAATATGGCTCCAATTTTTCTTCGCCAAAGTCGGGTAATGGCCCCGGTATCCCAAACCTTAAAAATTTTCTTTCAGTTGTTTCTGGTGGTCTCGAGATGTTGTTATATTCATAGATCTGCGGTCAGAAGGACGTTGGTTGGTGTTGGAAGTAGATGGCGGGGTATCAAGAGTCCTACCAGTGAAGGGGCTACTGGTAGGATGAAAATAGGGTATAGTAGCAGCAGAGATGGTGGCTCTGCTCCAGTAAGTCTTGCCAGAGTGAGGTGAAGAGGATGGATGGGAGTTTCTTAGACGTTTCCTGAAACTTTGCCTGGGTGAGTGGGAGAAGAAGGTTGGATATCAAGCGTCCTACTAGTGAGGGGGCCAGCTGGTAGGATGGTAATAGGGTACAGCAGCAGCAGAGATGGTGGCTCTGCTCCAGTAAGTCTTGCCAGAGTGAGGTGAAGAGGATGGATGGGAGTTTCTTAGACGTTTCCTGAAACTTTGCCTGGGTGAGTGGGAGAAGAAGGTTGGATATCAAGCGTCCTACTAGTGAGGGGGCCAGCTGGTAGGATGGTAATAGGGTACAGCAGCAGCAGAGATGGTGGCTCTGCTGCAGTAAGACTTGCCGGAGTGAGGTAATGAGGATGGAGGGGGGTCTGAGTCTTTCCTGAATTCTTGCCTATTTTCGGTAGCTTGTTGGTATCTCTTAATCTAGCTCTTAGCCAAAGCCGGGTAGAGGCCCCGGTACTGCAAACTCTCAAATTTTCTTAAAATCCTATGTAATTTTCTATATGGGACACTGGGCCCGGTTCCCAGCACGTGTTGCTCCCCACGAGAGCTTTGTAAAAAAAAAAAAAAAAAAAGAACCTGACCATTGATTGTGACCAATCTCTTCAGACTCTCGGATTTTGCATCTATTTCCCCTATTATACTGAACCCGCCCATTCTATAGCTCTGCTACCGTCCCATCTCATCCCACGTCATATTTTGTAATCAGCCTCTTCAGCCTTGTATGGCCGCCAGAACAGACAATATCAACTAGCTGGTTACAACATACCAAAAGCATAATCCTCCTCATTCATAGCCAAACCAACTCATGGGGACCAGGGATAATGAGGAAAGGGGGAAGGGATCCGGTAACTCTGATTGAGGGCGAAGGGGTACTGATGGGTCCACGTTTGTCCAATCATGGAATGTCAGGTGGTAGTCCCCTTGAATTTCATCTCTTTGCTCTTCTCTGTTCTCTCTG